CACTAGACAATCACATTACTAACTTTTAGAATAAAGAGATCCAAAGATATTGAATCCGGAACCCTACATGTGAAAGCGGTTATTTCTTAGTTTAGGGTCCAATTACACCCTTCCGAAGACACCTTTATGACAGCTAAATTTATCAGCAAAACAAAATTTACATCTTCGGCAAACTACAGACATGCCTTTTCGTGATAGCCTCGACCCTTCTGCTGTAACCCAAGCTGCAGGTAACAAAACAAGGCAGTTGTTCCTGTCCAAATGCGAAAAGCAAGTCATAACTTCTTAATGGATGGGTCTCCCTTATAAATCAGTCACTCTATTGAAATGGCTAAAGAGGAACATAGCGTCCATTAAAGAGTTTTAAAAGGTTTGGACTGTCACACTATCTTCCGGGATATAAACCGTGTAGTCCGTTGAACTATCGAAGCATAACCCTTGCTTGCCACCTGTCTTCACGCTGGTTTATGCTGGGTATATTCTACGACCCTGAAAATCGAGGCAAAATATTCCTCTGAAATGTCGGTTGACTTACAACGAACTACATAATATTATATCCCGGGACATAGAACTCTTGAATGTATATCGTCAATTAATGTTTATTTGATGAGGTCTCGTCGTCAGCGTTGGTCTCTATCCTGAGCCAGATGAAGCCTGCCCACATCCTCGTCTCTCCCATTTGTATAATACGCCCCAGCTACTTTAACCTTTTCGAGCTGATAATTCTAATAACCTTTTTTTCCTTGGCACTACAGCCCCAGCCCCAGAGGGCCTAGGCCTACCTCCATGAACTCCGTTAACTTCAGTTTTTCTAAATGTTACACATACGGTAGGACTCCTTGGGCTAGTAATCAGCTCGTCGCAAGGCCTCTACTTGTAGACAAACACAGAAAAACGCACACAAACATCCATGCCCTGAGTGGGATTCGAACCCACAATCCCGGCTTCCGAGCGAGCGAAGACAGTGCATGCCTTAGACCGCTCGGCTACCGTGACCGGCCTAATAACCTTTAGTAAGGTATATATGTTACGAAATTCCTCATTATGGGAGTTCCCCAAGTTTCCTTTTATTTAATCTCTGTTAGGTCCAATATTCTAGTCTGCACCCCACTCAGAAGCAACCTCAATCTATGTTATTCGCCTAATATGACAGACCATATTTCAGAACCACATAAAACACAAATTCATAAACCGTGTATCAACATCATCATCATAATCATCCTATTTTATATGCTATCCCTCACTTTATTAAACCCTGCCCTGCGGCCGCGCCATAGCTCAAGCGGTTAGTCGCTGGCTTTCCACAGCGGCGGCCCGGGTTCAATCCCAAGTCTGGTCAAGTGGGATTTGTGGTGGACAAAGTGGCGCTGGGGGAGGTTTTCTCCAAGTACTTCAGTTTCCCCTGCCAATCTTCATTCCACCAATTGCTCCACAATCACCCTCACCTATCATCTGGGGCTGGTACAATAGGCCAGAAGTGGCCGCATTGCAAGGGACTTAGTTCCACCCCACTAGCAATAAAAAACCCTACTTCCATTCTCTATGATCACCCAAGTACAGGATAAGAGATGAGATGAAGCCCCCAGCTCAAGGATGTGATAATGTTCTGCCTGTTTAGGGATGTAGTACGTTTCAGGAGACTGTGACAGGCGAGTATGGATCAGTGATAGAATGATAAATAGCAGAGGAAAACCGAAGAAACTCGGAATAAAACCTGCTCTGTTGTCATTTCCTCCGCAACCCATCTCACGTTGGATCTCGCCCAGGACTGAACCCACGGTTTCACATAGAAAAGTCAATGTATAAATGCCTGAGGCGTGTCACGGGCTCCTCCTTTTATACTGACGAGAAGTACACACTGGGATACGGGAAGTGAATGGAAAAACGCATAATATTATGTTAATGATAACAACATTAATGAGTTTTCGAATGCTGACTGGTTAGTGAGAGCCACATCACGGCACGCCACAACACATATCTTTTTCTTAATTTTTCTCTTGGATATTTGGCAGAATAATCTCTTCTTCTAAAAATGTATCTTCCTTAACGGGCATCATTTATTTCCGCCCTTTGTACTTGCGTGTGTGTATTTCCGTTTCTAGGCTGATCTGTTTCATGTTACTTTGTTCCCTTTTTCCGTTGCATATCATCCTCTTCCCTCTGTATTCCATTTGAGGTATTCAGCGAAACTTTGTGGAGTAGGGCCCTTGTGTAAACAAAGAAGAAAGAAAATTATTCCACCCACAGAACACGGAATCCATTGTATCTAACGCAGTAAACCGATGCACTATTTCCAGTGGCGTGCAGTCAACAAACTCGGGTGACATTCAAACCACTGTATACATGATATGCACGTAACTAATATAGCAAATTAGAGTACTAAATTTTCCAGTGGCGTGCAGTTAGTACCATTTCATATTAGTGAAACCTTCTTAAGGATACTGAAAATTTATCACCTATTCACAGGCCCCGCCAATGTCCTATTTTGAGCCACATTAATTCAATCCCAGGAACGTTAACAGCAAATTCCAATTATATTCATTATGAATTAATTAATATTGGAAAATACTAATTATAGTTCAATTCAACTTATATATTCTGTGTCTTACTAAAAGAACCCAAAGATTAAAACAGACGTAACTTATGATTCTACGTGTTACATAAAATGGATGTTGAAACGTAATTTCTTTCCCTGAGGGGTGAAGAGAGGTTGAGTGTGTCTGAAAATACAGTACTGGTAAGAGTATTTTAGATTAAGACGTGGAAAATAATAAATCTGCTTAAGAAATTACGTAATGAGAAGTTTCGTAGACCGCAGTTGTAGAACTCCTGCAAACATGGGTTTACAGCAGAGGAATGAGTTTATCTGATCCGAAATAGGGCACAGCGACGGGCTGCGATCAGGACGGACGGGGTTTGATTCCTGGCAGAGGCAAGAGATTTTTCTCTATGTCACAGTGTCCAGACCGTCTCTGAGGCCTACCCAGCCTCCTATCCAATGGGTACAGTAGGCTCTTTCCCCAGGGCTAAAGAGGCCGATGAGTGAAGCTGAACATATAATTCTATCTAGTGCCGAGGTCAAGAATGCCGGAGCTGTACCTGTGCCATCCGCTACGTTTTCATGGCGTAGTCCTTAATTAATTCAGCATAGGGAAAGCTCTACCTGTACCGAGATAGGGTCAGATTTCGTAAAACCCGCTTTTGATAAAAGCAGAGCACTCGAGCCCAGAGGAGTAAATAAGTACGTAATATAATATTCCTGGATCCCGCTAACAGAAGATCCTCCGTCATACCACTCTTTCTTATATAAGTCACTAATAAAGCATAAAAATGCACGCGAAACGTACTCGTATATTAAATGTGTGATTCCTATGAGTTAAGTAAACTTTGCAGGAAAAGAATGAAATCTCCCATGACTGCTGTCAGCGTTTCTTTAGCGACTCCTTCCACAGCATGTGCTACTCCTATCTGTAGTTATTAAACCTGTTAGGAAGTATCACGAACCAATTATAAACCCTCAAATATTTCAAGTTATATGACAACAAATTAAGTAATTTCAATGCAATTGTAGTGCCTTCTCCTCATGATCATCTCGAAAGAGAAAGTAGTTTGAAGAGGAAACCGAACTGCTGTACACCCGGTGCACCATTTACAAGCTTGTGGTCTATCGCACCATCGTATCATAGGTGGAAGGTAGAAGGTAAAGATATCCCTGTAACAGGCCGTGGAGGTCCATAGGGTTGTGGGTCGTTGAGGCACCCACATCATCCAGACAATCGGTTCACAGACGTCGGTAAGGTTGTCAGCCTTACGCGCTGGCCGCCCTTTACCCCCAGGAAGATTCCCGGTACTCGTTTCTGTTAGAGGCTGAGTCGACCACAGGGCCATAATGCGGCTGGAAGGACTAAGTAAATAGAAAAAATCTACCTTATCGGGACTCGAATCCGTGACCTTCCGGCTTGTAGCATAGTGACTCAATCAACTACGCTACCTTCACAATAGCATAATTTTCGACCAAAGTTCCGTGAAATAATTACGGCTTCTCTGAAATAAATATTATTAAGAGGACTGCAAATCCGGACCTGAATCGAAGGTTAGACGATCTTCTTAGTAAATAACAAGTTACATGCAGCTATTCAGGTCTTTTCTTACGTGCATGTATAATTCATTTATATTAAAATTGTTGTACTGTCATACAACAACATCTGATTTATATATAATAAGACTGAGACCAAGTTAAAACAGCAAGTCAATCAGTTTACTGTATTAATCACACTAAATATTTCGGTCTCTTTTGACCATTATCTGGTGTGTACCAATAAAATAAATAGAAAATTTTTACGCTCAATTTTATGATGATAATATTAATAATTCTATTGCGCTGCATATGTACTTCCGTATACCGAACCCTAAAAGGTATTCAATTTTGAAATTTTATAACACTGAAGAATGGATACATTTCAAACATTGCATATTTATTGCTTTTATTCATACACACCTGATAATGTTAAGAAGAGACTAAAGCATGTGGTATGATTAATAGAATAAACTGATTGACATATTGCTTCCGCTTGATCTCAGTATTTTCATTACACAATAATCAAATGTTTTCGCGTTACGGTATAAAATTTTAACATAATATGTACACAACAGGATGCATAAAATAAAAATAATTCATATTACTTCATATACTAGAGAAATTACCAGTCGATTTAAATATTAAAAATTTTAGTATATTTGCAATCAAATAATATTAACGTTAACTTCAATTCATATATAAAATTTTATTTATATTTTTAATTCACCGATTTGATGGTAGTTTCATCCATAGTTACCTCATATGTGGGATTCGTATCTTTGAGATGAATCCTGTGGAATTTGCGCATGCTCGTTATGTGACCTGACCTGGAACTGTGGCGCGCGCACGCGGAAGGGCTGCTAAGGGAGGGGAGGTGAAGCCTCTGCTCCCACCGGCTTCTGGACCAGAAAAGTGGCGATGCTGTTTTGGGAGTAAAAAGCTGGATCCAACCTCACACTGCACGCAGTAAGCGGGCAAAGGCCGAGGGGGAGAGTGGAGTAGCTACCGGTCGGCAACACAGGGCATTGTTCATATCGGCGCCCGTTAGAACTTTATTTGTTTCCAATCTAAAAATGGGGAGCAAGAAGAAGAAGAGACAAGAAGAATATGTTGACATTATTTAAGTGAATATTATTTATTTTTGACGTTGTCATTGGTGTATATGAATGCTCGGTAATTTAGGGACCTGCAATAACTACAGAGCCATTTGCCTGTCAAGTAATTTGGGAAAAGAAGGAGAAACAAACTGAAGCCATCTGAACATACCTAACAGTGAGTTATATATTTATTCAGAGTATATATATATATATAGGCTGTCATATTTTCATTTACAGCCTCTTCACTTAACCCGAAATCCGTAGAAATTAATCACAATAAATCTGGAAAAAAAAAATAGAAGTTAGATAACAAGCCATTGAGAAATATACATGGAGCTACAATGTACATCCAGTCGAAATTATACTGTCTTTATCAAGTGTTACACTTACGTAAAACATAATATATAAGGAAATTATAGTGTGATAAATTATATAATAATTGTTAGCACCGTCCAGTGTGGTTCAATTTGTAGATATTTATTGCCTTTGCATGTTTCGGTTATCTGACCACCTTCAGAAGGCATAAGATTAACATGTTCTGGAACTACTATTACAAAGTTCGTAATAGAAGTTCGTAAGAAGTTTTTTATATAAATATTTATTTACAATTATTTGGATTAAAATCTTTTTAATGTGTAATATTTAAGATTTTGAACCGATATGGTTTATGTCCTTGTGTCTCTTCTGTTAAAACGGAAAGTTGGGATATTATTTGAAGTCCTCTGAGGTCCTTGCTGTATTGCCCTCTTTTTAGCTTGTTATGGTTCTGTATCGTTGTGATGTATAGTTGTTTCCTTCTTGCTGTGTTTTGAGACAATATTTTTAGCCTTACCAATAACATAAAATGTTCAGAAATTTTTAGAAAAAAAGCGAAGAATTTCACAAATAGTTTATTTTAATATCTCTTTACTTTGTGTAAATTTGCATCATTGCTTCATTCTTGCAGTAGAGAGTGAATCAATGGTTTTGCAAGGAAGAGATGAATTTATCGCAATATTTTATTACTTTTATTCAGGTCATCTGAAGCTTTCCAGAACTAACTTTGGAGTTTTCTATTTCTTTTATTATTTATTAATTGAGTTATATACATATTAACATAATTATCTCGTATAAATATTAAACTGTGTTTAGAATATCAACAGAGATCCAAAACCTCTGATATGAAAATAATACACTAATGTAATTAATCTATTAAAATGCCTGACAGGAGCAAAGAACGATTACAGCACCAAGGAAGACTGGCAAAAGACAGCAGACACGTTAGACGGAAGAACATTGAAGGAACATAGATCAAATACAATAATGCCTACTAATAACAGTAGAACAGTGACCAGATGTACAATATAAGGCACAGTAGATCAGTTGTTCTCAGCCTGGGAGACGCACCCCTTGGGAGAGGGATTTTTCGGCTGCTCAAGACTATGAAGATAAATCAATTGTTTATGGTCAATTCAGCTGAAATAATTCTTTTTGTTTGAATTTAACCATCTTCTTAAGAACACATCAGAAATGTTAAAGTAGATTAAGTTAGGTTTCAACATCTGTCAACATTGTTCATCCCAAAACAAAGAGCACAGCTCAGAATTTATATTTAAAAAATTGTGAATTTTTACTCGCAGTTCTGGTGCGGTAGTTGTTACGAATTGGTTGAGCGAAACAATAATATAAACCCGAGTGAAACCGGTAATATTTATTTCAACAGAAATGCTGAAGGGTCATGAGTGTTCGGTGAAAACAAAAATAAACGAGAGCGTCAAGTCAAAGCGTTTGGGAACAACAGCAGCAGATAATGAATGAATTAAAAGTAAAATGATCGGTAATTAAGAGCGGAAAAATCAAAGAGCGAAATAAAATTCTTGTTAAACATTTCAATGCGCCTGCAGATGATGATGATAGCAACAACATATTTTTACACAATTCACACAATTACCTATACAGTTAAATTTCTCAGCCCTTAATATTGAAGGAGTAGAGGTATTTGTGCAGTAGAGGAAAACACTGCAATTGTCTGGTTCTCAGAATACACGTTATTAAATTACTGATGCTTACAGGGGTGTTTTTTATTGACATAGGCAGTAGATCTTCAAGTATTAGTTTGTTGCACATGGCTCCTTGAATTATTAATGGATTATTTAATGATATAAATATATTCTATATTATTATAAATTGAATGACAGTTATTGGTATCGTTTAACAGTATACAAAGGCCGGAGAAGTGATTTAATTGAAAATTAATTAATATGGGTAATCAAATTGTAATTTACTACTTCGTACATGTAGTCCTATATGCATGTGTTTGATTCTGTCACGTGTATTTCATTCAGTATGTGGGTTTATTAGAAACCGGAATTTAACAAATTTTTCAAAATTGAATTATGAAATTATGTCAGTTTCTTTATTTTAGAAACAAGAACGTACATCTAGTTTAGCTGAGACATCTACACTACTTTCTGTCTTCATATATATGGAGGTTTCTCACTCGACTTCTTAACCTCAGTTTCCCTAACCAGTAATTTATGACACTCACTCATTCACCTCTGTCTTTAATGCAACTTCAGAATGTCCACAATCTTTCTTTGACTTAAAATAGCAGTAATATCACAATAAACTGCTACATGTTTCGGCCTTACTTGGCCATCATCAGGCAACTGTTCACTTCTTGAAACTGTCGCATTGCACGAGATCATAAGTCAACATACTTTCATGCTATTGCATAACGTTGTTCATATTAAAATACATTTGTTTGAGAATAAAACTCTCTGTCCGTTCCGCCTTGTTTTCCTTTAGCTGTATTCATGTTTGTGCCCCCCGCTCCCCGTTTGTGTGTTCTCACTAGCTGGGCGTATGTTCCTTGTATAAGTTTTTTGTAAACACATCTTAACCAGTTCATAAGAGGTACACGACGTTTTCAACGGTGGATCTGCATTTCACTAGTGATCACTATAGTTTCTGTAATTGAAGTTGGTCCCGGTCTTCAAGAAGAATATTGTTTTTCTGTGTACGACGCTGTGTAATCCTGTTTAAGTTCACAGACGTTTCGGAAAAGCATACTAGCTCCATCTTGAAAATCGAAGACGAAACCAATCAAGCAACCGAGAAGAAGCAATCAAAAAGACAACTCTATTAGTTGATTCATTACTTCGATATTGATGATGGAGACAAGTTCCTCCGAAACGTCTGTGAACATCTACTGGACTACACGGCGTCACAACATTCTTCGTAGTTACCGCCTTTAGAACCCTAAGTCCAATAAGCGAGCAAATTGAAGGACCAATTCATCTGGACAGGAATATGAAAGCTTGGAAGAAACCGTGGAATCCGTTTGAAGGTGACCTCTGGCACGCAACAATACTTCAGTGCAAGTTTAGAGATCCGCGAGTCTGCTGATGTATTGATATGGCTAGCTGTGGGTCTTGGAATTTCATATGTTTAGGCATGACAGAAGCATCCAGCAATTCACAGCATGAGAAAGACATTTTGCTGGACTTCCTATACCACCTGGTGCTTATGTAATGCATGCAGGTATAGGGAGCATACAGAGAGAGAGATTATTACTCAAATGAAATATCTAAATGCTGTTTGTGTCACTGTCTTGATGAGCTCTAACCCCCACCTTAAATTTCGCCACTACTCTCTTGGTTGTATTAAGCGATATAGAATAAAATAATGAACTCCCCAACAGGTAATTTTGTGGAAGAATATATTTGAAAAATAAAAATTTCAATCATCAGAGTAATTGATTTTTCAAGTACAATAATTAAAATTCAGTCCCTAACTTAGAGAATAAAAAAATTCTTCTCTGTTACAAAGCCCATTCGCTTAATCCCGTTTAGGGAGACAATCACTGATTATTTCTGAAGACTCGTGCGGAACTTACGTATACCGTCTGTGTTAGGAGGTCAGAATTTTAACAAGTTAAAAGCGACCTTGTATTTAGCTTGTCGTTTGCTTCTTGTTGGTTCTTGTTAGTCTTAGTTTTAAACCCTGAAGACGGAAATAGTATTCTCTTCATAAAAACTCCGTCATCTTCTACCGGACTACACGACGTCACATCTCAGACTAGGACGGACTTGAATACAAGATGCTTAAAATGTATTTAAAACCAAATCATTAAGCATTTTAAGAGCCAATTATGACGCAAAATATGACGTGGATCCAAGTTAGTGAACACCCTGTCCTAAATATCAAATGAACTGGTATTTTTTTCCTTGGCACTACAGCCCCAGTGGGCCTAGGCCTACCTCCATGAACTTCTCCGTTCACTTCGGTTTTTCTAGATCTTACACATTCGGTAGGACTCCTTGGGCGGGTGATCAGCTCGTCGCAAGGCCTCTACCTGTACACAAACACAGAAAAACGCACACACACAGACTAAACATCCATGCCCTGAGTGGGATTCGAACCCACGATCCCGATTTCTAAGAGAGCGAAGACAGTACATGCCTTGAACTGGTATTTTACTTACAGGTATTTTCCTCGTATACGTAAGAAAATTCCAGTTTCTTTTTTTTACAAATTCTAAAGCACGACCGTTTTCTGTATCTTACACAGAACATGTCAGCAGTTGAATCGAAACCAAAACCATGGTCAATATTGTCACGTGATTTTAGTAACTAGATGAGTTTTGATCAGTAATTGGATTTAATAAATTCTCAGAACTCGTAATTACAAGTAAGGATTATGTCCCCAATATTCTACACAATTTCACAAATTATATATGACACACTATATCTTCTCAGTCTGTTACAGTCTTCATTAGCCGTTCCTCGGTAGCGGCTTCCAACTGCAGACATTCCCCTTACTCTGGGTTCCCGAACTGTTCCCGGCCTCAGCTACTAGCTTCTCACAGCAACAACTCACAAGTGAATCCCATCGGTTTTCTAACTGCAACTCCTTCAACTTTCCCCTGTTGCTGTTTATGGGCCGTTGCCTAGTAACTGCCGTTATATAGTTACTTATTTCAAAATGGCTGCTTAGCAACGGGTCTACAAGCCAAATGAATCTAAGGTTCGTACGCGGGTACGTGAGATATATTTAATATATTTTAAATACACTTCAAAAATTGCCATAAACTTCACGATTATTTCACTTATTATATTTTGTTTGCTTAAAAAAATGACGTTTATTTAAAGAGAAAAAATCTGTGCATCTTGTGATGTTTATAAAACACACTACCACGTAGTCTGAGATAAATAGTGAGTTGCCATTGAGGAAGGGTACGCGAAGTACCGACCGAAGTCAACCCGAAAATGTAATATAGAATATTAATTCTGTATACAAAACTGTGGCCTGAAATACATTTCTCTTACTGTAGGCAGCAGCGTGTCCACAGCTGTGTGCATTGCTGAATAGCGTGGGTGAGAACAGTTTCGGGCCCTCCCTACTTTTGCATGCAGGAAGGGAGAAACCCATAAAGAAGCACCGAAGAAGTTGGATCAAGCGGCAATTCTCCTGACTCACACTCAGAAGGTGCTCATTCGAATCTCGGCCGGGACTTGACTATTCTGACAGTTTTCGTGGGTTTCTCTTCGAAACAAACGAGGATAGTATGTACATTGATTAAGGCCATGTTCAAGTCCTTCCACGCCTTTCCCTCTTACATTACTAACTAACATGCAGCAATTTGACAGTTCGTGGTTTATTACAGCGTTATTGGTGGGAAAGCCAGAAGGAAAGAGACCACTGGGAAGACCAAGGCGTAAGTGGGTGGACAATATTAAAATGGATCTTAGAGAGATAGGATGGGATGGTATGGTTTGGATTGATCTGGCTCTGGATAGGGACCACTGGAGGGCTCTTGTGAACACGGTAGTAAACCTTCGGGTTCTATAAAATGTTGGGAAATTCTTGAGCAGCATTGCCTGTTCCTTCAAAATGGCTCAGCTCCATGAGTAAGTAAGTAAGTAAGTAAGTAAGTAAGTAAGTAAGTAAGTAATTAAGGCTGCGCCATAGCTCAAGCGGTTAGTCGCTGGCTTACCACTGGGAGGCCCGGGTTCGTTCCCGAGTCTGGTCAAGTGGGATTTGTGGTGGACGAAGTGGCGATGGGGCGGGTTTCCTCCGAGTACTTCGGTTTCCCCTGCCAATCTTCATTCCACCAAATTCACCATTATCATAATCACCCGGGGCAGGCTACAATAGGCCAATCAGTGGCCGCAGTGCCGAGTGGAGCCAGTTGGACTCCACCCCCCCCTAACTTACTTATTCATGGAGCTGAGCCCTTCTGGAGGAGCCGCCAATTCTGCAGCTACTGAATAATTTCCCAGCATTTTATGGAACCCGAAGGTTCATCACCGTGTTCACAAGAGCCCCCCACCTGTCCCTATCCTGAGCCAGATCTATCCAATCCATACCATCCCATTCTATCTCTCTAAGATCCATTCCAATATTGTCCACCCACTTACGCCTTGGTCTTCCTTGTAGTCTTTTTCCTTCTGGCTTTCCCACCAATATCCTATACACATTCCTCGTCTCCCCCATTCGTGCTACATGACCTGCCCACCTCATCCTCCTTGACTTCATCATTCTAATTATACTTGGAGAAGAGTACAAGTTACCCCCCCCCCTTTAAGCGAACTAACAAAAAGTAAGTTGTTAAACAAACAAACTACATATGAATAGACAGAACAACTGTCCTGGGTGTCGGTAATCGGCTACGGAGACCGCCGAAGAGAAATAAGTATTTTGATGTTCAATCCAGGTGGGGGGGGGAAGAGGTCATTAAGAACCTCATCTTAATGATTTACCTTCCATTCCGAAAGATTTTAAACTATTGAGGAAGGAGATGTGTTTGGTGTGTGATCTTGACTATTTCAATGTAGCGATCTCTTCTTGAACCTTCCACACTCCTTTATATTTAATAAAACTCCCTCCTATGTTGCATATTTTCATGGCAACGAATACTTGCTCTTCCTGAAAAGCCGTGACTAATTATTTTTAACTGCTAAGATGGCGGGAGACATTTATTTTTCTTAAACTATCTGTACCAAAATGTTCCTAGGCGAAAGTGTCTGTACTTCTAAACGAGATACCTCGTAATCAGCACTCAGTATTTCGTAATGTGACTTTAATTGGATCGAATACTTTTTGTTTTCAGCTACTGTAAACGTTACAGTTATATACAACAGAATTATTTATAAATTTAGTTGTAATCGCTTCTTTTCCTCCAAAGCTTAATAACTGGATATCATAATACATGTCGCTGAATGCGGAACCTAGGGACGTCTGCCTAGCTCAAGTCCACTAAAACCACAACAGGCCACGGTTAGGATAGCGAGTTTCGGAATTAGTTCCACAAACTGGCGTACGTGAAAGGGAATCGATGCGAAACAGACGTGTTGCTAGGAAACCGCGGTAATGAATTTCCGTGGCAAAACGCAGTCCTTATGAAACAAATGAAAACCACGATTACTCTAAACAAATCATTCGGACGGATATTTGTTTAACCAACGTGACACATAAAATAAACAGAATGTAGGTTCTTCATGAAATTCTGCGTATTTCATTGAAATGGAATGTAAATTCAAACCAGTATCATCGAGTCAATAGATAAAAGTAAACTGAATAGATAAAATGTTTATTTCGATGAATTTAAATGCAGTATGTAAAACAAACTTTAAAATATCTGTTGTGTGCATGGTTTATTAGTGGGCTTGGCATATATTCCAACAGAGAAGGGGCGGGGGATATAGTTGATATCTGTTAATTGCTTGGTTGTTAAATAATGTTTTCTCCCCACATGTTTTCTGCTGAGTCTATGAGACTTCCAGACACAGAACTATGATTGAACAGCTGCAGTCGAATCCTTATTGAGTACTTTACTTTATCCATATTCGAAATCGAAGTGAAAAGTTTGTAGTTATGGAACCTGTTGTTGAACTATGGTACCGTGAAATATGGCTGTATTGAAGACCCTACTACAGAGTATAAATGTTTATAGGCTCTTCGGAGGAATATCCTGCCTCCATGTTCGGGGTAAAATAGTGGATTTCTCACTGTGGTGATAATAAAGTTTGCTCCCTTGTAGGAGTTACGGTACATGACTAAGTTTATATTTACTGATGTTTAGGAAGAATTTGTAGTCTCCAGCTTCAGGTCCTTCCCTGAAGATAGAGACTGCACCTTCCTCTGAAATTCCAGGGCCCTACAGGGGCCTACTACAGGGCCCTACATATTAGAAGGCAGTCATCTTGATAATCCCTGCACTGAGAATGTCAAACCTCTCGTCAGTTTACTGTCCGTATTTTGGAGATCCTTAATTTCTCCAGATTCAACTAAAATTTTCAAATGATACTGTGACATATGGGCCGTTTATATGAACAATAGAGGAATGTTATCATTGCTAGGCAACGACCCCATAATTATTCTCGCATCAACGAATACATAAAATAATATGGAATACGTCGTTATAACTCGCTGATAGGCAATTGCGTTATAATACTAGAATGTAAGAGGTTTTCTATGTTGTTCGTGCTGTGACTACATAACGATATCTGTAGCTGGGACAGGGGAGCAGTACAGAGTTCAGTTCTGTGAGGGCGGCTGAGAAGAAGAGACAATGTGTGTAAATACAGACACGTTTATCATCTACCACTGAACCAAATGTGATGTCCCAATGTGTTAATACATATCAGTAATCCCAATGAAATCAAGGATAAATACGCTGATTTATCGCAGTAAGAGTGTTTGTAACTTCTGCTTGAAGTGCCTCTGTGGTACAGTGGTCAGAGCTCCTGGCTACAGATGTAGATGTCCAGGTTCGATTCCCGGCGCTACCAGATTTTTCTGAGAAGTAGTGGGTCTGGAACGGGGTCCACTCACCCTCATGAGGATAATTGAAGAGCTATTTCAAGGAAGTAGCGGCTCCGGTCTAGAAAACCGAAATTAACGGTCGTGGGGATCCGTTCCGCTGACCACGCGACACCCTCTACTGGCTAAAGTTGGCGCTAACTTCGCCGACAAGCTGCGGTCGCTCGGTCGGTATAGTTCTCTTGCGAACTAAACCCACGGAGTTAGTGCATAAGCCACAGACTCAGGTGGCAACACGTCAGCGTGCCGTCACACACTGTTTCAGAAACTCTCTGTTTTTAAATGTTGAAATGAAGTTCACAACATCGGCTCTGTTTACTGCAGGGGGATGGGCTTGCCACCGACAACCGTAGAGGCGGCCAGACGCAGGTTGCGCGAAGTAGTGCGACGCGGAGAGAAGTTGGGTCTGACCCGGAGTGACCTCGCCTCTTTACCTGCTGCGCGCCGCCTCGCCACCTCCGGGTTAAGGCGCTGTTGGAGGAACACAAGCCTGGCCATCACTGCTTTCGCTGTTATTCTTGCCATAACGGCAGTTCTCGCCAAATGTTACGTGTATCACGAAGCCACAACTTCCTCTTACACTTCAGGAGCCACCGCAGCGTCCCTGGATCCCTGGTGGCAACAGCAGCAACTTCAGAGGCTCGTGAGTGTGCTGTGTGTTTCTCTTAGTGTTTATGTTTCCCGTATACACTAAAATATTCCGTCTGCTTGGTGTTCTATTGTTTTATGTGTTTCGACTGCGCTGGAAACTTAGAGGACTCCGCTCTCCTGAACTTCCTTCTTAGCGGGTGTAAAGATTAATTTACTGTCTACGTACGTTACAGATCCAGTACTGAGCATTTAGCGGGGTGAAACTAGCGAGAATAGAGCTCATTCTTACCTACCATCTACATTAAATAAACTAAGCTAACATTTGTAGTAACAGAAGCAAAGCCTGTCTAACTGCGAAACGGTTACAGTTCCTTCAGAAACTACATCATTACAAATTACAGATACGTTTTAGTTAGTCACATCGGAGCTCACTGTCTTGATTTCCCCCACTTCCTTCCCTTTCCCAAATTTAGCGCTGGCCAGAAACCATAAAAATAAAGAGACTGTACTTTCATCGAGTACATTGAGGGTCCTTAGTAATATTTCCAAATTTCTTCTTTTAGTTGATTGATAAACCGATCACGGTAGCCGAGCGGTCTAAGACATATACTGTCTTCGCTCGCTAGGGAGCCGGGATCGTGGGTTCGAATCCCACACAAGGTATGGATGTTTGGTATATGTATGTGTTTATTCCGTGTTTAGGTAGAGACCCTGCGACGAGCTGATCACTTGTCCAAGGAGTCCTATCATCTGTAAAAAGATCAAAATTAAAGAAAAACTTCGACACCGTAGGGTATAAGAGGAACGGATTAAGTAAGTAAGTAAGTTACTTGATAAGTAAACATGCGGGCCTATTGAAGTAAGATTCACGTTACCATCTTAGTATATGCAGATTATTTCCTCATGTTGATAACATCATAACGATAGAGCTAGTCTTTATCTCCGGACCAGCTCTATCGACTGGGTTCAACTGAGCAAGTTATTATCTCAAGACAGAGACAGCGTAGTCTCCTAAACGTCGACTTAGATTAAAAATAGAGCATTGGATGATGTCAAAAAAGTTAATCATGTTATTAATCGTCACGATCCCATATTCCTAAATTGCGTAAGCACTGGATAGGAAACAGGGTGGACCACAAAGCAGGTCTGGAAGCATTGGCGAGGAGAAACATTTCCTGCCCCTGACAGGAATTGAAACCTGTCATCCAGACCGTGGCCTGTCGCTCTACGGGCTCCCAAATCGGAGTAGAGCATAGTTATATAAGGCGTAATAATGGCTGGGGTGGAAGGAGTCGTGGCATATTTCATCCAAGCACTCACGGAAGTGAGGAGAAGAACGAAAGCTTTAGAGAGGACAACCAGTAACTGTGTCCGGTCTTGAACCAGGTACTTTCCAAGCAGGAAGGCCTTGCTGAGTGACAACATAGTATGGCTGGAACTACATCTCTGTCCCTGTTCCTCCACAAGAATTTTACGAAATATAAACTTGGCGTGATAAAATATTTTCTTGTTCTTTTAAGTTTTTTTTTTCACTTGTTTAACGTTTTTAGCGGAACTGCGAGTTGTTCACATTGTCAGGTTTCATTCTACATGCTGTCCCCACTTCACTCACCCAGAAGCAAAGATGCCTGAAACATTTGTATACCAGCTCTGCGTTGTGATCTAGAAATTCATCAGCCCATGAATAGAGCACTGTCTCCATTCTCTTTGTGTATCTGGAGATTCAGACACGAGACATACATGCATTCAAGTCGCAGAAATATATTCTTTGTTATTTTGTCGATCCGAATTGCCAGTCCCAATGCAGAAGCTACAAATACCTGTTACAGTTTTCATTACATATATAGATGAATATGCTAATTATAAAATGTATGCACCTTATGCAGAAAATATATTCAGAAGGTATCTTCATGCCTGTCATCGCATACACAAATGTGTATATGTAATAATTTAGCTGGTTTCTTCTTGGTGCTGTAGTCTGGTTCGAAACCTGGCGGCTTCTATTCAAAGAGAATTTCTAAACTCTATACAGCAAGATGTCAAGAACTCTTAAACAGATAAGCAATATCATGTAATAGCTCTATCATCACGGGATAAAGCAGAAATAATTCGGATATCATAAGTGTGCTGAGTGGGATACTAATCTACGGTTCAAATATTCTGGTGACCTAAAGCCCTGCATTTAAGTCTCTTTGACCAACAGAATCTGCATTTTTAAAAGTTGGTGTCTCCACCTTATCGTGGTGAGGGGGTTTGAGTATGCCAATGACCCTGAGAGCTATACCAGCGGTAGCGTAGCTACTGACAGGGCCTCCCTTGCTGGACAGGTCAAAGGGTAGGCATCAGACGAAGAGAGACACCAAAAACCAAAAACTGATGCCGGAAGCAGCGTCATCAGCAGCGACTTGAAGCACAGAGCAAATGATGCTCGAGATGGTTCAAGTTCGTATAGCAACAGGCGTGACCAGAGTGGTTTGAACGGCTGCTGTACTGCGATGTGGAAAGCAAATGGAAAAACTACCACATTATCACTTTTCCTGGATAGTTTTCTTTCCGAAAACAGAGATACCATGTATGCGAGATGATTCCTCTGGAGACAAAACAAACCATAGAAGTGCCCAGAAGACAAGGAAGAAGATGTAAGAAGATGCTGGATGACCTTGGGGACAGAAGAGGATATTTTAGTTGAAGGAGAAATCTTGAGATCGCATTAAGTGGAGGAACTGTTTTGGAAGAGACTGTGGACCTGTCGTCCTGACAGATTACTGACGAATGAATATATAAACAGCGTACCTCATAAGCCCGAATGCAAAGCGACTCCCCATTTTTCGAATGAGAAATTCAGAAACAAATTTATGTCCTTTGACAAAAGAAGTAAAACCTGCGCTACTTACAAACGATAAATCCGGATTAATATTTATTCTTAAGGACCCGAAAATAAGGCGACCGGCCCTTTCTTTCTAAGAAGCAATATTTGAAGGACAGAAACTTACTTCATTTCCTGCCTAGTATGGTAATTGTTGGTGGTCTTCACCACACTAACTGTTCAGATTGATTTCTTCTGGTATGTGACATCGTACACTCCTGTAATTTGTTGCCAGGTTTTCGGAGGAACGCACTGTCTCTCTCTTCAGAGTCCACCATGAAGATGTACGCAGTATGTTACTGCGCAAAGTTGATATACATCTACAAGTTTATGCGGTGTCAGAGCCTGGAAGGCCCCAATCTGAACGGAATCAATATGTTCCCTGCCAATATTACAACTGGATATCCAAAGAAGTAGGACGTTAGGGCCTGGAATGGAATCCAAAGGCTTACGATATGTCCAATGGTGGTTTTCAGCGGACACAATTATTAAACCTCGACTTACACAAATTACTAGGTATATCTTGAACAGCTGAGCGTCTATCAGTTGCTGAAACAGGATTCTTCTCCATGAAGTTACTTTAGTTAATATTCATTTCACAAGCCTCATGTACAGGGTGAATCGTATAGAACCGGCCCGATGAATTTGCTAATAATTCCGCAGGTGATGCATATAACCGCTCATAATTACGACATAATAATCCGTGGGCCGTGCTGAGTCGAATGGTGTGCTCATGATCCGGCAAGTGGCAGCCCTTATGCTGCAAGGTCAAGGACAATACCGAAACGTATCTGCAGTGGGCAGGCGGCAGTCCTGGATTTCACTGTTGAACAGCGAGTGTTTCTAGTGCCTGCTTGAAAACGGCGGACACTTTCAACACCTGCTCTGATCACGCACACAATCCAAGATAAGATATGTGTAAATTACTTAATATCTGTATGGTATGTTTTATATTACAACTCATTTCATCGGGCCAGTTCTATATGAATCACCCTGTATTTCGCAAGCGCAGCCTATCTGTGTAATAGCTGTACTTACAACTTTGCCATATTTTCAATACTTAAGTTTTGAGCGTTTGTTATTACCATAGCTGCAAAGGCAAACATGGGGATAAAGCGTTCTGTGCATATGCATGCTATTTCTTTACTTAATTACTCTGCGCGTTAGATTGCTGGAGACATTAATACGCAGTTTTTACCTGATTGCAATTTACATACACGGCACAGTTAAGTAAGGGACCGTTCCACTAATTGGATTCTCTGTATGCCACACGCAAAAGTTCTCTCCCTCTCTATACCCGCCATCTTCTGTCGCCTTTCATGGTCAGTAAAACGAATCAATTTATAACATGGTAAACCATAGACCCTGCAGGGCTTACATATCGTCGGGGGTTATAAATACAACCAACCACAAACACTTTCATCTAAGTAGCTGGAACGTAATTTACAAATGTTTAATATCCCTGTCTTACCCTTCATTTCATAGTTTAAATGCATTTTAATGATTAGTTTTGCTTGCCTAATTGCGCGCCCATTCTACACGTTTTTGTGTCTGGGATGGGGTGAGAATGTTGAATGGTTGACGGTGTGGAAAGTGCAAAAGGGGTGGAAGAATGAAGAAAATGTCCCACAACACAAAGTGGTGTACGTAACTCCCCTCTCCTGCTCCCAGACTAACCCTTCACGTGCCAAATATCTGGCCATGGGCCATGACACGCTAATGCAGGCTTCTGTTCACAGCGAAAAGTAAAGTAGCGTAAAGTAATACAAGTTCAGCTGTCCGCAACCTTCGGATGCGTTCTTTGAGACTTTCGGTTTGTCTAGATCTTAATTTATTCCACGTACAAAGGTATTTAAGAAATTAGCGTTACGTTGTCCGATAACAGTTTTCATCAACAAACTGAATGGAGATGAGCGCTTCTCAAGAAGCTGCTAGTCACTCAGAGAGTCAATAAATTATCTGTCTGTGGAACCCGAGGTTTCATTATCGTGTTCACAAGAGACTGCTAATGGAATCCATCCTAAGCCAGATAAATCCAATCCAGACCCTCAGAAAGCACAAACGTCATGTCTAAACGTCTGCCTCATACATCTTGACCTGATCACCCTCACACTATTCGGCGAGTAATCCACCTACTGCTTGCCTATATTTCGACCTTGGAAAATGAGGCAACAAATTCCTTCGGA